AAGGACCGGATAAAGGCAAGCAAAGGGCCACATCCGGCCCCTGGACCACAGTTTGGAGACCAATGCTTTAGAGGAAAGGTAGATTTAGCCACACATCTGTAAAGGTGGTACTCTGACTACTGTTGTAAATGGGGCATTCTCCCAGCTGGTCACCAATGCAAGGGGTATTTTTTCCCACTGACCAATTAATTGATTGTAGCAGGGGTTCCCTCAGACCTGAAAATTAGTTAAAGGGTTCCTCTGGGTCAAAAGGATTGAGAAAGACTGGTGTACAGGCTGCAGTGTTTACCTGATATCTCTTCCATGAGGGTAAACCTGACGGTGGGATACTTGTTAGCAGGAAGAGCTGGAGGGACGTAGGCCGGGTCTCTCTTCTTCACGGTATAATCTGGTAGCGGAGCAGGAATCTCCCGCAGCCTCTTCACTGACACGCGGACTGCGCTCCTGTCACCGTCCTGGGAACATACTGTGTCTCCAAGGCTACTCCTACTCAGGGATCCCTGGAGGACACCCTTGTGACTGGACACCTCAGACACATGGAGGATGTCTGGCTGTGCTGTAGAGATGTCCCTCTGTCTGTGCCCCCTTCCAGATACAACAGAACAGTCCTGACTCCTTGCAGCCATCATCCCAATATCCAGAAGATCCATCATCCCCTGGCTGGAGTCTTCCCCACCCCCAGCTGCCTCCTTCCTCAATGATCCTGTCCTATGGACACTGGTAGACCCAATCAACACATCACTGGCAGTGGTGCTGGCCATTGAATCCAAGCTGATGTCCGATGCTTCTTCTTCCTGCATCCTACTATGGCTGTACACCCAGACACCCTATCCTCCTAGAACTGCACCTACCTGTCCACTCCCCGCTGCTAAGCTGCACTAACAACAACTGACAGGAAGCAGATACAACAGCACAGGGCTGAAATGTTTACCAAAAGTGCATGTCTTCCCTGCCAGGGGAAAACTCTCATTGATAAAACATGATAAAAATGACGCCGGAGTAGTAGGCTGCATCTCACGCTTCAGCCATGTTTCTGAAGACCAAGGAGCATTTGCAAATTGGTATTGTCTCACACAAAATGGACCCGAAGGAGACTCAGAGTGGAACTAAACATCGACCTCTGGCGGATAGAACGCTGGTTGCTAGCCGCTTAGATTCCAGACGGTTAGCTGGTCCGCTTGATATTCTATTCCGCGCGGAAACAGACACCTGCAGTTCTTTGTATTAGCGAGTTTTTTTTTTCTCTAGTGTTGTTTTCCTAATAATAGCATTTAGTAATATCAACAGTGCAAATAAATAGGGTGTCTCAAGGAAACAGCAGTTGAAAAATAGTTAAAAATATGTAAAGATTTCAAAGACTATAGTCCTGGCAGTATGAAGGTGTAGCAGCGTTACGAGGCGCTTTACAACGTTGGTTTCCAATCCAGCAACTCGCTCTCGCAGATTTCCAGCGAAAAGACACTATCCGGAACTATGAAGAATAGCAATGTTTCCACCGGACGGTTTCCAGTGCAGTACCCGAGGCGCCTGGAAACTCATCTGATTATTCGTGCTCTGTGATTCCACCGAAGACAAAAATAATACGGAAATAAACTATGACTTATGAACAAACAAGAACTGATTTTTTTCTTCAGATTGTAGTGTAGCTTCTGCCTGTTGGCCTCCCCTGGAGCTGAAGTATATGACGAATGTGTGGGTGTGAATGGAGCTCGCTCGGCTCACGTGTTCCTGCAGCGAGGAGAGCACAGAGCAGGTCAGTCGGGGTGTTTTGGGGGTCACCTGATCTCTCTTCTGCTGGGGGGAGCAATGGGCTGAGGATTAGATGGTTTAATATTCATTTTAGGATAAATACGAATACAGATTCATTGTATCAAATAAAATCATCCCAATGTGTCATTCATAGAGTGGAGGGTCAGGCATGGTCTGGCATTGTTAGTCCTGAGGAACTACCGATCACATCATCCCCCAGACCTGCACACATGGACAGGACATGTAGCTCTGCTACAACCCAACACTATGGAAAGAAATCATTGTGGATGGGCTGACATTGAGATTTCAATCAGCCTCATTATATTAAATTCTACAAATTGGGCAGCACAGTGGCTCAATGGTTAGCACTTCGCCTGGCAGTACTAGGGTCATTGGTTTGAATCCCAACCATGGCACCACCTGTATGGAGTTTGCATGTTCTCCCTGTGCCTGTGTAGGTTTTCCCCGGATACTCCGGTTTCCTCCCATACTCCAAAGACATGCTGGTAGGTTAATTGGCTCCTGTCTAAATTTTCCTTAGTCTGTGTATGTATGAATGTGAGTTAGGGACCTTCGATTGTACACCCCTTGAGGGTTAGGGACTGATGTGAATGCACAATATATATGTAAAGTATTATTATTACGCAGTATTTATATAGTGCCAACAGTTCGCTCAGCGCTGTACATTACAATGGGAGACAATAAGTACTGTGTAAATTGACAGCACTATATATAGTGCCTGAAATAAATAACCGAGGGTTTGCCTGGCTACATAGAACAATGATGGGTGATGGCGATCAATATTTTAATCTGCAGTTATTTGAAATGAAGCTAATTATTTATTTTGGTAACTATTAACAGAATATGTTCTTACCAATAACAATCACCAATGTATGACCTGCATGTGGATTCCATTAGTAGCAATGTGCACTGGATCTCTGTAGAAGCAATATTTAGTCTCTGGTCACGACACTGCGATTTAAAATCACCAGATTTGTGTGCAATTTCAGTGGGATTTCAGGTGGAATTTTTTTTTTCTCCTAATGATTTCTTGCTATTTGCAGTGTGATTTCTATTATATGCTATGTATTGAAATTGCAACAGAACTGCAGAAAAAGTAAGGCAATACCTACTTTGGAAATCACGCTGCAGAAAATCGCAAATGTTAAGACACTGACATTCACATTCATTAGATGCGATTTCAATTCCCAAATCGCACCGGTATGACCAGGCACCTACAGGACAAAGAGACATTGTTGACCTTGCAAGGTCATCATCATTTTTGTTTTCTTTAGATATACATAGAAATATGGGGCTTCCTTCCCGCAGGTGGTTTGACACATGAACGTCAAATCCTGGCATTTTCAACCACCCAGGTGACACAGGTTCAGCATCAACACGCCGGCCAAGAGCTCTTAGATCCTCTCCAAGGTTTGGTGGCTGACGTTTGGCAACTTGAACTTTCAGCTCCTTCCACAGATTTTCAGTCGGATCAAGGTCAAATCTTGGGTGAGAACCTTCTTCCCTCAGCCAGGGTATGGAAAGTGAGTCGTGGATGGGTGTTTCAGCATGACAATGACCCAAAACACATGGCCAAGGCAACAAAGGAGTGGCTCAAGAAGAAGCACATTAAGGTCCTGGAGTGGCCTAGCCAGTCTCCAGACCTTGATCCGATTGAAAATCTGTGGAGGGAGCTGAAAGTTCGAATTGCCAAATGTCAGCCACCAGACCTTAATGACTTGGAGAGGATCTGCCAAGAGGAGTGGGCCAAAATCCCCCCGGAGATGTGTGCAAACCTGGTGGCCAACTACAGGAAATGTCTGACCTCTGTGATTGCCAACAAGGGATTTGCCACCAAGTACTAAGTTATGTTTTGTGAAGGGGATCAAATACTTATTTCCCTTATGAACATGCAAATCAGTGCATCATTTGTTAGACATGCATTTCTTTTGAATTGTTTGCTGCTATTCTGTCTCTCAGTGTTACAATACACCTACCATTCGATTTTTAGACTGATCATTTCTATGTGAGTGGGCAAACATTCAAAATCAACAGGGAAGCAAATACTTATTTCCTTCACTGTATGTAGTTCAGGGTCTGCCTAACTGGATACAAATGAAAGTGTTGTTTAAGTTTGACCACTCTAATTCAGGCCAAATGTGTTCTATTGGGTTAAGGTCAGGACTCTGTACAGGCCAGTCAAGTTTCTCCACCCCAAACTCGCTCATCCATGTCTTTATGGACCTTGCTTTGTGCACTGGTGTGCAGTCATGTTGGCACAGGAAGGGGCCATCCCCAAACTGTTCCCACAAAGTTGGGAGCATGAAATTGTCCAAAATGTCTTGGTATGCTGATGCCTTAAGAGTTCCCTTCACTGGAACTAAGGGGCCAAGCCCAACCCCTGAATAACAACCCCACACCATAATCCCCCCTCCACCAATCTTTACTCTTGGCACAATGCAGTCAGGCAAGTACCGTTCTCCTGGCAAACGCCATACCCAGACATGTCCATCGGATTGCCAGACAGAGAAGCGTGATTGGTCACTCCAGAGAACACATCTACAGTGCTCTAGAGTCCAGTGGCGGCGTGCTTTACACCACTGCATCTGACGCTTTGCATTGCACTTGGTGATGTAAGGCTTGGATGCAGCTTTGCCTTGGAAACTCATTCCCTGAATCTCTCTACACACTGTTGTGCTAATCTGGAGGCCACATGAAGTTTGAAGGTCTTTAGCTATTGACTCTGCAGACAGTTGGCAACTTCTGCGCAATGTGCGCTTCAGCATGTGCTGACCCCCCGCTGTTATTTTACGTGGCCTACCACTTCGTGGCTGAGTTGCTGTTGTTCCCAGTTGCTTCCACTTTGTTATAATACCACTAACAGTTGACTGTGGAATATTTAGTAGCAAGGACATTTCATGGATGGACTTATTGCACAGGTGGCAACCTATCACGGTACCACCCTTGAATTCACTGAGCTCCTAAGAGTGACCCATTCTTTTACAAATGTTTGTAGAAGCAGTCTGCATGCCTAGGTGCTTGATTTTATACACCTGTGGCCATGGATGTAGTAGGAACTGCTGAATCCCATGGTTTGGAGGGGTGGCCCAATACTTTTGGCAATATAGTGTATGTGTTTATCAGTCATGTATTTAGCTGTGCGCCTGGAGTGCAGCTTTAGGTAGTGATGCATATGTCATGTAAATAATTATTATGTTTTAACAGGTCATTGGCTCTAAATCATAGTGATTATGGCTGCTCAGATTATAGAGGCGGATCAAATTAAACAGGTATTATCATTTTATGAAAAATATTCAAGGGAATAACACAATAGATCTATATAATTCAGGTGTGAATAACTAAGGTTTAGATGACATGGCAATCTCTGGTATTATTTTTACATAAAGGTTTGTAAAGTTTACTATTCAATGACTTCTTAAAAAAAAAAATAAAGATGTTAAACAACCCCAAAAGTTATCAATTTTTTAAAACAGTTGAAAGGGTTCTAACACTTTATGGGATAAATAGATTGTTTATTGGTTTATTACAGTATTTATAAAGTGTCAACAATAAACACAGCGCTTTACATATTGTACATTCACATCAGTCCCAGCCCTCAGGCTGCATTCACACTTGAGCGTTTTGTAGCTTGAAGCTCCAAAAAAGCTCAAACTTACAAAATCAATTGTTCTCTATGGTGCCTGTTCCTGTGATCAGGTGTGACCAGGCACCATAGAGAACAATTGAGTTTTTAAGTTTGAGCTTTTTTGGAGCTCCAAGCTACAAAACGCTCAAATGTGAATGCGGGCTCAAGGAGCTTTCAGTCTAAGGTCCCTGTCTCCCATGCAAGCATACACATACTAGAGCTAATTTTGAAAGGAGCCCGCATAGACGAGGTGAATGACACCTCCTAGAGCCCAGCACTGAGTTGCCCTAATGATAACCAATCTGCAAAAAATCCAAAGTTATAAGTGCAACAATGTAACAGTGCAAATAAATAAATTGTAACTATTTGAAAAAAAGATGCAATATTCATGCATATTAGTGTCCATACATTCAATATCATCGCCACGCATTATTCTGAACAAACACTGCCATCAGAGAGAAAACACCAATATAGTGTAACGGGTCATGAACATACAGTTATTGAATAAACAACAAATCTCACAGTCTGCATCATGCAGCATTTAAAAGCAAAACTGCTATCAATCCTAAGTGGGCACCCTGCACCTTTCTAGTGTAAACTAACAGTCCTCCAGCTGCTCTGCATTGAACCCCGGCTGCTTCCTTAAGATCACTGGGAAACGTCCGCCCCATGCTGTTACTCTGCCCCTTGACGCATTTTGTTGTTGTAGTTACTTCTTCAGAGGTTTCCTTTTTCCTCCTTCAGGCTAGATTCACATCTGTGCAGGTGGTGCCGCTGCGGCTCCGCACAAAAATCCGTGCAGCCGCAACACCTGCACAGAAGAATGCAGACCCGCGGGCATGTGCCATTAATTCTAATGGCATGCCGCCCACACTGGAAATCGCAACCGCACTAGGAACCCAGGTTCCCGTGCAGGCTGTGTTTTCAGAAGAAGTGCAGGGACTTCTTCCCTGCGTGTCCCGGGGCACGGGAGTCCATTCAAATGAATGAGCTCTCGTACTTGTGCAAAACGCAGACCGCAGGTATGCAGATATGTGAACCAGGGGTCACAGTGTGCCCCAGTGGTTTCAAGCATGGGCTGGTGTGACCACAATGCCAGTCTTTAATAAGACATCTGCCTGTCTATGCTCACGCTTAACGTAATATATACAGAGAAAATATGGGGTAAGGGGAGACTGTCACCCCTGTATGTGCTCTCAAACTATGTGTAATGCTGATGACAGGTTAACTCCAGAACACACATGAGCAGCATATAGTTTTAGGTTAGATGCCCCCTAAGCATATATTTGTTATCACTGATCATTTTTCAGAAGTCCATTGAAGTATTTGTGTTCAGTGAAGCACGCGGTGAAAACTGTTGGAAGTTGATAGATGTGATATTTTTGTTTGTCCACAGTTCAGAGAGTTTCTTGGGACATATAATAAATTGACAGAGAACTGCTTCCAGGATTGTGTGAAGGACTTTACAACCCGAGAGGTGAAGCCTGAAGAGGTATGCATGCATTTTGTATCCACCGATGAGGGACTGGGTTAATGTTGAATATAAATGCCACTGGAAAATGCAAATGATTTATTGGCAATGTGCTTCAAATGACAATTTTACTTGTCCTTCAAAGTGTATTTATAACCAGTTCTTGCTTTCTAGTTTGGGATGGAGTGGGCAAAGTTAGGACCTCTGTCAAGTTTTACTTTTGCTATTAGAGAGATTTATCATCACTTCCTTTCCTAGTGACACCATTTTTGTACAGACAGAAAGTGAAGGAAAGTCTTCAACAGGAAAACAGAGAAACAATAAGAAGCTGATAGCATTTCCCTACTTAAAAAAAAATGCTTTCATCTCTGTTTCTGTTGGAGAGATTTCCCCTCTTATCCTATCTGATAAAACTGTGTCACCAGAACAGTAATTGAGGGGAAATCTTAAACAGAGCAGTAAAACCTGACAGGGGTTCTAATCCTTCCTCACTCCATCCAAAAATAGAAAGCAATAGCTGTAGATACACCCCCCCCCCCCCCACCCCCCTGATCGCAGCCCATCTAGTATTTTTATACTTCCCTTCTGCTGTGAACCTTGCTGTGCAATCCTGCCCAGAGCTGAATGAAAAACACACCGCTCAGGTCCTCCCCCCTACCATGCTCATAAGCTGTGTGTCCATTTATTTCTTATTGATGAGATATACACTGCTGGAGGTTGCCATGAGTATGGCTTATCCATAGGAATGAATGAATCATAAAGGTATAGTAAATAGATTTCTTGTTCTGATTTATATATTTTCACAAAGTTAAAAATCAGAACCCACTCAGAATTTGGAGGAGATAATTTATGAGCAATATAGCTGCAGGAGAAGGCTCAGGTGGTAGCTGCCACTGTCACGACCTGCATACTAAATCTAGAACAGATTTACTGGCTGTGGTATTATAGCATTTTAGTCTTTTTGACAAATTAGTTTACATCATAAGTTCCTTATGGGATTTGATTATTGTTCAGTAGGATATACACACCCTTTACAAGCCATGATGATGTGCAGAGCGGAGTAACCTATAGCAACTATTGCATGTCACCTTTGACCAGAGTGTGTAACCAGTTTATGGGTGTGGTCAGCTAAAAGGAACCAAAAAGTCCCCTATTAAAACACTGTGAATCACAAATTAAAAAATAAGTCAAATAAGTTCACCTTTTAGAACATGGTACACGTTACACCTATATTTAGGCTGTATTGTGTAGCACGCTCCAAGTTGCACCACCCCCAATCCCTCCTTGTGACAGCAGGCAGGGGTTCCTCTCCCCGCACCTGCTGTAACTTTTCGAAAATAGTGCGGCCCTGCGTTGCTTCTTAAAGGTGAACTTGGCCTTTAATCTTCATTTAGGGCCGATTCACACGCATGCATTTTAACATACAGTACGGTATGTCAATGCATGTACACCGTTTGGCCATTGTGTGGTGCATTGAAATGCACTGTCCATTTTTATGATTCCTCAACACTCATTATTATTGACCATGGCAATACATGTTGTTGTTAATAATGCAAACTAATGTGAATCCAGCTTCAAAGATAGTTGGAGTTCAAATTAAAAGAAGTTTGATGTTAAGTGACCTCAACAGTTAATACTCAAAAAATATGGCAGGTGTCTTGTGTTATCTACAAGCATCTTCCCTAAGGTATTTCTAAAGCCAATCTGTTTTTTGTTTTTTTTTAGTTTATATTTATTTTTTTTGCTGTCTGTGTCCCAAACCAATGTAGGGATATTATTATTATACAGGATTTATATAGTGCCAACAGTTTGCTCAGCGCTTTACAATATATACAATATATACAGCAACAATAGAGTTCAATACAAGAGGGAAAGGAGGGCCCTGCTCCTTGGACAATCTAGGAGGGAGAGGCTAGTGGTACAAAAGGTAGTAACTATGGGGGATGGACTGGTTGGAAGAGTAGAAGATTCCATTATTAGCTGAGGGCAGGATAGGCTACCCTGAAGAGATAGGTTTTCAGAGATTGCCTAAAAGTGAGCAGAGTAGGTGATAGTCTGATAAATTGGGGTAGAGAGCTCCAGAGGATTGGGGGAAGCTCTGGAGAAGTCCTGGAGACGAGCATGGGAGGAGGAGACAAGGGAGCTAGAGAGCAGGAGATCTTGCGAGGAGCGGAGAGTACGGTTTGGGTGATATTTGGAGACAAGATCGTTGAAGTAATTTTGGGCAGAGTTATAAATGGCTTTATACGTTATTGTTTTGAATTTTATCCCTTGGGCAATGGGAAGCCGGTGGAGGGATTGGCAGAGAGGGGTGGCAGATACGGAATGGTTAGTAAGGTGGATGAGTCTGGCAGCAGCATTCATGATAGGCTGAAGAGGGGATAGCCTGCGATGAGGTAGGCCAATGAGGAGGGAGTTACAATAGTCAAGGCGAGATATAACAAGGGAGTGAATAAGTTGCTTAGTGGTTTCCAAGGTTAGGAACGGGCGTATCTTGGAGATGTTGCGGAGGTGAAGTCTACAAGACTTTCTTCACTTCCTTTTCCAAAACACAGCAGGTAAAAAATCTCCCCAAATTACAGAAAATCTACTCCTCGACAGTTCAATAGAAGTGATTTGTTAACAACCCTGTGGTTTTTGTGTCCCTTTGATTACAGTTCACTTTCTTTACCAGGGTACCAAAGGGATCTCTTCACAGTAGACAGCTGTCACCAGAACATGTTTTACCATTGAAAGAATTTCCCTCTATACCTGTTCATATGATAACTCAGTATTTTTCCTTTCAGTCACCTCTGTCACCAGAATAAATACACTCACTGGCCACATATTAGGCACATTGCTAGTGCCAAGAAAATATCCCCCACACCATTACACCACCAGCAGCCATTGATACAAGCCAGGATTTATCCATGCTTTCATGTTGTTTATGCCAAATTCTGACCCTACCATCTGAATGTCGCAGCTGAAGTAGTCTGCCCATTCTCCTCTGACCTTGACAAGGCTTTTTTGTCCTCACAACTGCCGCTCACTGGATATTTTCCTTTTTTGGACCATTATCTATAAACCCTAGAGATGGTTGTGTGTGTGAATATCCCAGTAGATCAGCAGTTTTTGAAATACTCAGACCAGCCCGTCTGACACCAACAACTATGCGACATTCAGAGTAACTTAAATTCCCTTTCTTCCCCATTCTTATGCTTGGATTGAACTTCACCAAGTTGGCTTTACCACCACATCTACATGCCTAAATACAATACTTTTGCCATATGATTGGCTGATTAGCAATTTGTGTTACCGAGCAATAGATCAGGTGTATCTAATAAAGTGGACGGTGAGTGTATAAAGGGTCAATCTTCCCGGTGAGGTCATAGATATCAATAAAAGAAAATTATAACAGAAGGTCTTATACTTTGCTTCTCTGTCAAAACTAAATAGCACATTGGCTTTTGACACTGTAAATGAAACCTGTCACACGTTTTCACTATTCTAGCACTGCTTGGGTGGTTATTATAAAGACAGGCACTCCCACATAAGTGGGATTAATATAAGAGCTGGTCAGCTTATGGAATCTTCAAAACACACATTTGCAATAAAGTTTACTAGAATGATATATATTATTCACTTAGAGCAGTAGTTCTCAACCTGTGGGTCACGACCCCTTTGGGGGTCGAACGACCCTTTCACAGGGGTCACCTAAGACCATCGGAAACACATATTTCCGATGGTCTTAGGAATCGAGACACCGCTCCTCTATCCGTCTTCAGGCGGGTCCGCCCACATGCAGATACGCCCACATACGAGTACCCGGCTTGATGACATCATCGCGCCAACCCCATCACATACACCCCATACAAATACAGGTGTATGTGACAGGGTTGGTGCCATAATGTACTTGGACCAGTCACACATGTGTAAAGAGCAGTTACTGTGTAGAAAGCAGCTGCTGTGTTGAAAGCAGCTACTCTGTTAAAAGCAGCTACTGTGTTGAAAGCAGCAGTATTGGAGGTAAAATGACACTTCATGAATTATAATTACTGGGTAAATGTAAAATCATGTACTGTAAAATCATCAACTACTGCAAAAAAAAAATATCTGTACCATGGGAACTTAATCTGGATGCTGATCAGTCTTTTTATATTCAGCTGTGGTTGATGTGATGTGAGTATGTGAATACAAAAATAATTTTATTGTTGGGGGTCACCAAAACATGAGGAACTGTATTAAAGGGTCGCGGCATTAGGAAGGTTGAGAACCACTGACTTAGAGGGTATGTTTTCTTCTCAACAAACTAATAGAAATCTTGCATTCTCTTTGTTTTCAGATTACCTGCTCTGAGCATTGTCTTCAGAAGTATTTGAAAATGACACAGAGGATATCCATGAGATTTCAGGAGTACCATATACAACAGAACGAGGCTCTGGCAGCTAAAGCAGGACTTATCGGCCAACCTCGATAGCGGTGGAAAGAATCTGCTGATCAGAGTTCTACCGTCCCAGCAAAGAGCGCTATGTGGTGCTCACAAAAGCTGCACTTGACAGTTCCAAATGCGCCAGTCTTCTCCCAGCCGTGCAGGAAATCTAAATGTGGACGAAGACAGAAAACAGCAGAGACTTGTCTTTTCAGTGAGGGATGAGATTATGTGAACTGCAGTTCTAAATATATTACCAATTCTTTTCTAATAGAATATTATTTCATGTGACAGAGATAGAAATGAATATGTATATATGGGCAAAATAAAAAAAAAAAAATCAGTACATCTCTCCACTATGTGCACAATTCCCCTTGATTTGTCTCTTTATAGTGATTGTGAAGGTTCTTTTTTTTTTTTTTTTAATAACAAACTTGTCATACTTGCCTGCTCTGTGCAATGGTTTCCCACAGAGCAGCCCTGATCCTCTTCTTCTAGGGTCCCTATCTAGCGTTCCTGGCTTTTCCCTCCTTCCTAATACCCCCGCTTATATCCTAATATATCCGCTTGCTATGAGGGCACTCATGGTGGCTTGATCCCGAGCTAGGCTCTGTATGTCCATTGACACATACAGCGTGGCTTGGCCCTGCCCCCGATCTCTCTTCACAGGCTCTGATTGACAGTACTAGGAGTAAATGGCTCCTGCTGCCTCCATGTACGAGGGAGGAGAAAGCTGCTGCTCTCAGGGACAGTGCTGGATCAAGGTTAGGCTCAAGTATTTGGGGGGTAGGTGGCAGCGCTGAACACAGAAGGTTTTTTTATTCTAATGCAGAGAATGCATTAAAGTAAAACAAATTCTGGTCTGTTTGGACCATGTTTTATGTTACAACCATATTAACCACTTCTTGCAGCCATTGAGAAATACTGTGTGAGCTGTGATTGGTCACAGCTTGTAATATGGTACAAAGCTGTTGTGAATAGCCTTATACCATGTGATTTCTGTGATCATTCACAGATTTCACAAATAGTAAGCAATGATGTCAGAAGTGACATCTTGCTTACTACTATTCATGTGATCACTGATTGGGTGTAAAAGCAATCCGTGTAAAAAAAAAAAAAAAAGAAAAAATCTTCATCACCCCCCACAAGTAGTACAGTGTCACTATAGTGACACTGTACTGCTAGGGTGACAGTATTTTAAAAAAAAAACATAATATAAAAAAAGTAAAAACTTTTTGAAAAATTTTAATTTTTGGTTATAAACTAATTTGGGTTATTTATTTTGTTTTTACTAAAAAGATAACTGAATAAAGTTTGGCCAAGATTCATGAAGAAAGATTATTTATTTGCAGAATTTTTTAAGAAAAAATTTTTTTTTTTCAAAATTTTTGGACTTTTTCATTTAGCAAAAAAAATAAAAATCCCAGTGGTGAATAAATACCACCAAAATAAAGTTTTATCTGTCTCAAACAAATTCTAATAAATTCATATGGGTACAGTGTTGCATGACTGTGCAATTATCATTCAAAGTGTGATAGCGCTGACAGCTGAAAATTGGACTGGACAGGAAGGGGGGGAAAGTGTCCGGACTTGAAGTAGTTAAAGGCTTTTTTCACCTTTACCAACAAACTGCCTGTGCAGATAAGGGGTGTCTGTAGATGAAAACAAACTGAGCAGTTTGACCAAAATTGAATAATGTCCTTGCTATAGGTGTAGGACCTGTATGTACCTCATGAAGCCTGACCTGAAAACTCCCAGGATGTTGCTAAACAAGGCCCAGCTATTCCTGTACACCTCCTGTACACAAGAATGAGCTCTTTCTCTAACCATTTGCCCCTCTGAGGATTTACCCCCCTTCATGACCAGGCCATTTTTTGCAATATGGTGCTGTGTTACTTTAACTGACAATTGCGTGGTCATGCAGCGCTGCACCCAAATTAAATTTATGTCCTTTTTTCCCAAGCTTTGAGCTTTCTTTTGGTGATATTTGATCGCCTGTGTGTTTTTTATTTTTTGCGCTATAGGCAAAAAAAGATTGACAATTTTGAGAAAAAAAAAACAATATTTTGGACATTTTGCTATTAAACATGTCCAGTAAAAAAATTTAATAAAATTTTGTCATTAATTTAGGCCTAAATGTATTCTGCAACATCTCTTTGCTAAAAGAAAATTCCTATACCTGTAAATTAATTGGTTTATGTGAAAGTTATAGCGTTTACAAATGGCAGTATAGATAATGGGATTTTTTTTCTACTAGTAATGGTGGCAATCAGCGACTGCGGTGGACATTCTGACACTGGGGGGGAACTTACTTGTTGGTGACATCCCCAGTGACACCAATACAGTGATCAGTACTAAAAAAAAAGCACTGACACTGTACTAATGGCACTGGGCAAGAAAGGGTTAATGTTAGGGCCAATCAAAGGGTTAACTGTGTGCTGGGAGTATTTTACTGGGGGGGGCAGGGGGTGTGTTCTTCACTGTAAGCACACTGATTGGGATGGCTGTACTGTGCTCAGCCATCCCAAGCAGTGTGCTCGAGCTTACAGGGAGGAAGACTGTAAACAAAACAATCTTCCTCCCCGTTGGAGATTCTCGGTAATAACCGGGCGCCAGCAGGTAATTTCCGGCTGGGACCCGGTGATTGATATTCATGGCTGCGAATGGTGGCGCTGGTAGGGTGCACACGCAGCTCGCGCATGCCCCCTACCTGCAAATGCAAAATGATGTATATATACATGATTCTGTGCACAGGTGCCACCCTGTAGCAGTATATCTGCTATAGGGCGATCCTTAAGCAGCTAATTAAAACCCCGTCACATGCACTTTATCTCCCCTGATGCAGTAGCTCTGACATAAGCCTTTGAGAGTTCACTCCTGTGATGGTGGAGGTGAGCAGTAATAGCTGGGCGTCACTTAGCACTGTCCTGGCAGTTTTCAGGTCAGGTGTCATGAAGTATAAATGGCCTACACCTATAGCAAAGGCATTATTCAACTTTAGTCAAAGCAGCTCAATTTCTACAGACAACCCTTATCTGCATAGGCAGTTTTTTTTTTAGTAAAGGTGAAGTAACCCTTTTCATTTGTTCCCACCGACATGGTGCATATATGCAGCCTCTCGGCGGGTTTAACGCTGAGCAGCCGCATATATGTATCTATTTGTACCTAACTAAGGCTACGTTCATGCTAGCTTTGATAGCAGGCATTAGACAGGCATTTGGGAAGCGTTTTTAACGCTCATCAAACGCCTATGAAAATTCTACACATGGCAGCACACAGCGCTGTTCACACTGAAGCGTTATCGTCGCGTTGCAGAAAAATTGATTCCTCATGTCGAGTCAGGAGGAGATGAAGCCTCCCATTCAAATCTATGGTGATGCTCCTCAAACGCCTGGTAGGCGTTTGCGAGGCATTTGCGTAGCGTTAATACCATTAAACTTCATTGTAGGCGTTTGAGGTGCGGTTTTAACACTTGGCGAACACCTATCAAATGCCTCAAAAACGCTCATAGGGCGATTGGGGAGCACTTGAGCGTTAGGCGTTTGGGAAACGTTTTTAATGCCTGGCAAACGCTATAGGGGCATTTGGTAAGCGTTAGAAATTAGTCAAGTGTGAATGAGCCCTTAGTGTGTCGAGAGTGCGTCCACTGCAGGCTGCCAACCAGTGGTGTATGTAGGTTTTGTGCTGCCCTAGGCAACACAAAATCATCACCCCCCCCCTCCATGGGGAGAGCCTGCCACCCACCCTCAACCCCCGTGGGGGAGCGAGCCGAAGACATTGACCTACAACGCCCCTGCCCCCCACCCAAGAGAGCCTTTCACTACCAATGACCGCCGTACACCACCTTCCCCATCCAGCGAGAGAAAGACACTCACTTTTACAGCTCCGGACAATCTTGGGAATGAGAGTTGGGCTCTGCATACGCCATCAAGCAGCCCGCAGCCTCACTCGGATCCCACCTGATCCTAATTTCGCAGGTGTCCCTTCTTCAGTCCCTTCTTCCAGGGGGCACTGCTGCCCCCCTGAAAAATGCCGCTCTAGGCAAATGCCTTGTTTGCCTTGTGGTAAATACACCCCTGCTGCCAGCACAGAAACTAACATGTAATACAAAGCTCCTGATGCATACTTGTGACTGGGGGGGGTCTTTCCAATTATGTGACCGTCATGATAGCCAATCACAGCAGTCACATGATTGGATTGTCCGCCTTCTGTGTTTTGATCCAGTTAAAGGGCTGTAAGTGGATAAACAACTTTGTAAAGCCTGTAGCAACATTTTCAGTTTGAAGTGCATCCAGCCACAATTACTGCAGGGAATAACTGGCTGCATGAACAGTCACGAATAGACAGCCTGTCTTGGCACTGTAGGGGGCTTGGTGGCTGCAGCTACCAATCCCAACTGCAGGAATCAGTAGATCCTTACCACAGGGATTTGCAGCTTGGATAAATGCCCCTGCGAATGTAGCCTTAGAGCCCATTAAAATGGACCGCTGAAAAACTGCTTCCATGTGTAATTGAATGACTGGCGTCACTGCTCTTTGTATGTGACAGCTCATCTGAGCAGTTATATGTGTTTAGTGGCCTTGGCCAGGTCTGGACACAGACAGAGTATCCATGGCCGGTGGTTCTGGCCACACACAAACCGCTAATCATCCAGTCTGTATGCAGCCAAAGAATACAAACTGAACAATGCAGTCTAGTTGCCCTATTTCCTCTGCCTGAATGAGGCCTAAGAGCCCTTCTATTCCTTGGAACATACAATATGCTAGGGTCTCTACCTGAAAGCAATATTAAACCCAAAAAAACTAAAATGGAATATATTGCAGTTTACCAATCCTTACATCCTGTGGTAGGTGCATATTTTTTTTAGGCTTTTTTTTCATTTACAGGTGTATCTCGGTTTACGAATTTAATTCGTTCTCCAGGACGTTTCGTATTGCGAAAAATTTGTAAACCAAAACGCGGTTTCCCATAGGAATGCATTGAAAACCAATTAATCCCTTCCGGAGGTCAGAAAAAAGTTTTTAAAAAGTTGCTGTCACCATAGGTCA